ATGGGAACCACATCTTGTACAAACCTTTCACCATTCTCACTATTTGTATACACCATTCCAATCCAAGTCCAGCGGAAGTGGAGCATCAACTGGAGAATTCCATTGTATTGATGGTTCGCATTTGGGAACATCTGTTGGTATGAAACGGCCTGTGCTTTTTCATTTGTCTCTGGAGTTGAGCCATAGATAAACTGAAGAAACAGTTGGAAAAGTGGAACAGGGAAGAACCATTTTCAATTTTATGGGGAAAAGAAAAAGTTGCATGTAGCAATAGCTCACCAATTAGTAATTAAGAATTAATTGTGATTTCAAACTTCCATTCTACCCATACTTTCAGGGAATGTTAAGGGAAATAGCTGAGATGTTATGAATTATCTAGTTTTCAATGGAAATAAATGAGCAGAAGATATCTAGAATTTAATTACACATTGAAACAATTGGTCAGTTACTGCATTGGTAGGGCTGCTTCAGTGCAGTCTTTCCATCAGATCATCGATGCAGTTGCTCCTGATTATATTTCATGGAACCGTTATATCTGCATTTTATTAATAAAGCAGAACTTACATTTCATCCTCTAGTATCAAGTGTGATATACGTTGAAATAATTTTACCTTCAGAGATAACAAAGTATGCTCAACAGACTCTGTGGTCCATTAGCTCACAGCTTGTTGTGGTCTAGTGTATTCACCACTAAGAACATTTTTATAGTCTAAGAAGACATTATCCAGTGGGTATTATGAAACCAAAATACCCTATACGTTTTATCTGGTTTCTTTCTCTACAATTCAGTTTACAAAATATACTTTTCTTCTCCTTCTCCTTTTACATTTTTCTTTCTTTTCTTCCTTTTCAAACAACAAGTAAGAGAAGTGATTGTTTTAAAAAATAACAACTACTACTACAACAATAACCATTGACATTTAAGAGAGATAAAAATAAAAATGTCAGTTAAAGTAGAATATTACAAGGCTAAGCAACTCTAACTCTATAAGAATGGTTGCATATGAAACCGGTGAACACTTTACAATAAAAAGAGTAGACGAAGTAGACCGAAACAAACCTACTACTAATATATAACTAAACCAAGCAAAATGCATTTTTAAAATTAAAAGTTTAAGACTTTGCAAGATCCAGTGGGCCCATTTATTCCCTAATCCTAATCCTCTCCCCCACCCCATGACAAATCCCCACCACTGAAAGGAAGACAAAAGTCTTCAAAACCTCCTGTTTTCCATGCAGGCATTGTACCTGTGGCATCTTGTAGAGGGACAGGATGGTGGTCAGGTGGGCTCCAACTGCAAAAGATGGTCCCCCAATGGCAGCTATTGGTCTTTTCTGCATGTCACACT